AATACTTGTCTATTGTCTTCTCTAGAGAAATATTCACTTGTATCATCTGTCTTTTTAAACAGGAGATTATTGTTATTGTTATTAACTAGTGAGTTGTTTGAGTTCCTTTATATGTTCTGGATTTTAATTCCTTGTCATGTACTTTACAAATATTTTCTCTCCTGTGGGATCTCTTCACTCTATCGTTTCATTTGTTGTAAGGAAACTTTTTAGTTTGCTATAATCCCATTTGTCTATTTTTTTGCTTTCACTTCTGTGCTTTTGAGATCTTATTAAAAAAACACTTAGCTTATAACAGTATCCCGAAGTGTTTCACCACTGGTTACTTTTACTTGCTTTATAGCTTCACATCTTATGTTGAATTATTTAACTTTATTTTGAGTTGATTTTCCTATGTGTTAAGAGACAAGGGTCTAGTTATATTCTTATGCATGTGGATAGCTGTTTTTCCAGCACCATTTGTTTAAGACTGGACATGTCACCAAAGAATATTGTTGGCATTTGTATCAGCAAGTTAAATATTCAAAGTTAGATAGGAATCAAACTATATTCATGGTTGTATTTCTTAAGTGATAATGTAAGACACCAAAAGCAAAAATATCCCAATGTGTTTATTTTTTTATGGCAAGTTAAAGGAGAAATATTTATCAGTCTCTCAATGCACTTTGATATCCCTCCAGAGGAAAATGAGCGCCACCACACACCCTTCTATTGTGCTTCCTGCCTTATCATCAAATATGATCAATTTAACTTTTGCTCTTTTATTTTTTGTACCAGTTTTTGAGATTAAGTAGTTCTGTCATCTCCTCTTATGGGCCCTTTACTGGTTATTTGTAATATTAAATGCTGAAACACTTTCCAAAACATATAACCTGTGGATGTGTAAAATTGGGAATCACGTGAGGTCACGACTACAAGAAACTGCAGGTGTTTTGGGCCTCATGACAGTGAGAGTGTTGGTTAAGGGTAGGTGCCAAGGGAATTGAAGAACTGCAGCAGAAGAGGTGAGGCAGGGTGATATGAAGTAATTGATCGGTAAAGGCTGAAATAGTCTATTAAAATGCTGAAAAACAGCGCTCAACATATTTATGATTCTTTCTCAATTCTTAAAACCTTTTGGCTGAAGCTCTGAAGATTCATTCATCCCTATACAAACCTGAGAAGAAAATACAGGATTTAAAAATTATTACTTTAGTTGTCTATTTGGCAGGAGTTCAAAAAATTCCAAGAACTCTTTGTGACTATACACTGAATAATATCCATATTTGGGTGTATGGTATATGTAATTTTTCTTTTGAGAAATCTGGTATTAACCATAACATGATTAAGCTCTTTGCAGAGTTAAGGATAGAGAAGGAAGGAAGAAGAATGTAAGCAGTTTCCTGAAAAAGAAACTAAAAGAGTATCTTGATTTAGATTTGAGGCCAGGTATAATCATAGTCTCAGTAAATAACCTCACAATTTTACTTATTTATAAACGTGTAGATACAAAATAAAGAATTATCCCTTTCCTTTTTTAGTTTTTAATTGGCAATTTTTATTGAAGGTTTACTTTATCTTTAGGCTAAAAAAAAAAAGGAAAACCTACATGGAATACAAAAACACGGTTTAAGAAAATGTTAAAAGTAACAAAAAAGTTTCATTGTAAAGTCATTTTTGCATAACTGTTTTGGAAAACAGTATTCTGTCCACAGGACTAAAATTGTTTTGCAATTTCAATTACAAACCAAAAATATCCATAAGAAGTTGGACAGACACTACTGAATAGATACATAAGCAACATAGACTTGATTTATTTATGTTTAGTCATTTTTCCTTTAGCACTTAAAAAAATTAAGGTTCAGTCATGCATACAGAAGGAAAATAACACTAACCACAAGCGAAATATTCTTGAGGAGTTCCTTTTTGTATATTAAGTAATTAACAAAGACATTTTATTAGTTGACATATATTTATGAATTTTAAAATGTTTGAATTTTTAAAATTTGTATTTTGGTCTTTTTTAAAAAAAGACATTAGTTTCTATTTGACATATATAATAAATACATTCAGCATGGGGTTTTGGTCCATATGCATACTACATCTTATTCCTTTTTCCTTCTCTATCCCCTGTTCTCCCTCCCATTTTCCCCATTCCCAAATCCCCTTTCCATCTCCATAAAGTTTGTCTCAGCATTTCCTATCATTTTTCTTTATTTTACTCTTAAAATTATATTTTTTGTTTTTCATATAAGGGAAACCATGCAATATTTACCCTTCTGTGTTGAATTTATTTACTTAGCATTATTATTGAATGTCATTAAAGTGTCAGAGAATTCCAGGACTCAGAGTGTTAACAGAAAAGGTATTTCACTTGCTAAGTTAAACAACAAGCAAAACCCACCCATGTTGAGTCTGTCATCTCCTTGATCACCATCATATTTAAGCTGATTAGTACTTATCACAGTTTCTCCTTTAAGAATAGTAGAAATAGTAAATATTGAGCACGTCATAGCAAAGTCTGTGGTATTGTCTGAATGTTTTTTGGCCCCCCTTCCCGAAATTCATATGTTTTAACTCTTAATCCTGAAAGTCATGGTGTATGGAAATGGAGCCTTTGAGAGATAATTAGGTCATCAGAGTAAAGATCTGAAGAATGGGATCTGTCCCAGTATAAACTGATCTTCCTCTTCCAGGTGAGCATTCACAAGATGGAGCCCATCTGCTTCCCTGAAGAGGACCCTCACCAGGAACATGATCAGAATCAGCAACTTGTCTTGAATTTACCAGCTTCCAGCACTGTAAAAAATATATGTTGCTTAAATCACGCAGTTCATACTATTTGTTTTAGCAGTCCAGGATGTGGTGTAGATACATCTGTGTGGGTAGGCCAGATGAAGAGGTGTGTGGGGTGAGTGGGGGAAGAGAAGAATAAATATGAAAGAATTTGAGTTTATGGATGTTGTAACTTCCTCTTAGTAGGTGGATGGTGAATCATAGATGCATATAGTGTTAGATTTGGATATAACAATCCCTTCTTTTAAGGATGAGGAAGTGGGCATATGTATATGAAGTAAGCTGCTTATGATGATGAGGAATATGATGATAGGCAGTGAAATAGGAATTATATATTTATTTCTAAATGTTTAGGAGAAGTTAATTGATTTGTGATAGAGTTTTATTTCCTTTTCTTATTTGATATTTAATTAAAATTTATATTTATGGCCAGTGACAAAATATCTAAAGCAGGATGGTCTAATCTGACCTGTAGAAAAGTCATAGAAACCAGCTAAACATTGGAAAGAATAATGAGACTCTGGGACAAAGTTAAGATCTTATTAAAGGTTGAACTCCAAGTTCAACGTGTTCTTTTCCACCACTAGAAGCAGTCTGTCACTGATTGTGTCATGACCTTCCTTGAATTCTATTATTAATGGAATAAAGAAAGTGGGGACAGGGATGTAGGAAAGCAGCACAGGCAAAGACATCTCTTGGAGTTCTGGCTTCAATCAAGGGAAATCATGAAAGACCAGGAAGGATGACTGAGGAATGTGGACCATGTTAAGATATCTTCCTCCAGAGGCATGATGGTATATATGATCCCATTCAAGTTGGAAAGTTCTTCTGCCATGTCACATTGTTCGGGTCATAGGTAGAGCTTGAATGCTCATGAGAACCATCTGGGCTTTTGCTGCCTTGGAATGCCAGCTTCATTCCTTGTCACTGCAGTATGGTTGATGCTACACAGAAGGAACCATAAACAGGCCAGTTCTGATAATTTAGATCTACCAGTGGAGGATTTAGCATGAACTTTTCCTTTCTCAGAGGCAAAAATCCCAGGGACAGGACTTGTTAGGAGTGCCCATCTCTCACCCAATCATTGTGTGATGAAGGCTTTTCTAAGTTGTTGTTTTGAGTGGTCCAACTTAGAAACAAGGAATGAAGTTTGTAATGTGTAGCTATATCCAAATTACAAATGTAGAACTCAGGAAAGGTCAGTTTTTAGCAGAGGGTACTAAACAGATTATTCCAGATGTTCATCTGTGGTTTGCTCAGTAACATGTTGGGTTACTCAGATTTTGTGGGAGAGGGATGCAAGTAATAGTAATACATTTTAGTTAACTCGATTTATGAGAATTTATTATAAAGCTAAGTGGGAAAGTGAGAAAATAGATCTATCTCTGCATCTGGCAATCCAGGTAAGATTCCTTCTCACATCATATTGAAAATGTTTCTTTCTTATGACAACTCAGCTAAATGTGGAAACTAATGAGGAAGACCTAGTCTTTGAGTCTAGGTTATGGCTTCTATTTCCTTATCCTTCTGGCTTGGCAGAAATACCTTGGTGTGTACCCCTTCCTGTCTACAGATGTAGACCTCATTATTTGAGCTAGAATCTGACTGGGTAGACCAGCCTCCACTGAACATAGGATGTTTTTGTTAGAGCTTGGATGTAAATTCCTTTCTTACGCTACTCACCTTTGGCCAGATACTAATCATTGCTTCATTCAATTCAAGGCAGGAGAATGGAGGATCAAGGCTGAATAAACTGAGATGTAGGAGCAAAACCTGTGTGTTGGGTAATTTAACTGGTAGAAACCATTTATGGGCTGCCTGTTATCTACAAAAATATAGATGCAGGGCTGGGGATTTAGCTCAGTGGTGCCATTGCTTGCCTTGCAAGTGCAAGGTCCCAAGTTCGATCCCTGGTACCAACATATATATGCCGTGGTTTAAAAAACAAAATTAATTGAAAATCCCTCTTTTTTTAAGGTTTACTTGCTTTTATTTTCTTGTTCCTTTTTCATTAAGTTTATCGGTATATTTTAGGTATACAGTACAGTTACAGTCATCATTGGGATCCTGTACCTTTACATGATGTATCTTGGTTTTTTCCCCTTTCCCCTGCCCTCTCTTCACTGTCCCCATCCCTCCCTATTTACAAAGACTTTGTTTCCATGTTTTTTCTTTTCCCTTCTTTCCTTTCCCCTACCCCTCCAACTTCCCCTACTTCTTTAGACATTTTCTTCCTATTTCACAATCTCAGTTATACATTTTGATCCTTATTTACACTTTTAGTTTGAAAATCCTCTTTTTGATAAGTATTCTACAGAATATAGGGAAGACTAGAGTATATATAGAGTTCCTGCAGAAAGAAGCTGTAAAATTGATGCAGCACAAGAATGATCACAATGGGCACAACGAGAAAATAATCTAAATTATTCAGGCCATTCAATATTGTCCTCAAAATTGAAGTGAAAGCAGTTCATTTTTTCACTTCTTATAAAAGAACTGACACGGGAAACTAACTTTTATAAAACGGAGACAAACTTTTCCAACGACTTAATTATGTTGTTATTGTAGGGTCAGAACACAAATTTTAAAAAGAAGTTTTCATGGAAGAGGTGTGTCTGAGAGTCATCATACAAATCTAAAGGAGACAAAAGAAAAGAATGAATGAAAGAAAACAGAGGAGGAGAGTGAGAAAGATGGAAATAAAGAGCATTTCTGAGAGCTGTGTGCAAGGTTCTACAGAGATCAGTGCCGTGCTGGTCAAGTCTCCATCACTGGCTCTGGGCTTACCTTCTCCCTGCCCTAGGCTGCTTCTGGTGAAACAGTACACTCAGATGGTTGGGCCTCTTCACTGGGCCTGCTCCATGCCGAAAATCTAAGAAAAGGAAAGCTTCAGGCTCCAGGCCTTTGCTGTTCCTATTTGTTTACACCTCCATGGAAATTCTTAAATGACAGGATCATAGAGAAAATATGTGAGACATGAAGGAAGGGGGAGGTCTCAAATGAGGCCTCAATTAAGGAGGCAGGATGCTTTAATTTTTATGCTCCCCTGATACTTTTTATTTATACATTTGCTGCTTCCAGAGAAGCTAAATAAAAGAATTCATACAGAGAAGGCCTGTGCAAGTAGCAAAACAATAACCTACTACCTTCTGAAGACTCGGGCCCCTATTCAGAGTACATTTTCAGAACTCTAAAAGGGATATGCGGACTGAGAAGATCTGGTTCCAGGATGTCTTCAATTGAATCTCCCATAGGTAGCAATGACCTGGGGAATGAGAAGCATAATCCTGCAGAATAAGAACAAGGAAAGGGCTTTAAGTTGGTTCCACTATAAAATAAGCCTAATGTTAGAGGTTGTTTGTGGTCTGACATGGCCTCCTTAAATTCTTTCCCAGTGAACAGTTTCAGCTTGAGACAATGCCTAAAGAATCTAAAAATCAAAGGTTGTGGCTCTACAAGTATGGGTTTTAGGTTGGCCCCTTGTCTGTCAGTTTGGAGAGGGTGGGAATGGGCAGAAAAGGTGTGATTGGAAAAGGGGAATGATAACACTCTCAGGACTATACTCACCTTGAAAGTACTTACCAACTGTGGAGTGTGGGAGATAACATCGGGAGACATTCTGCTGAATGCAACGTTAACTTTTGTGTTTCTAGAGCAAGCCCTGTCTGGATGAGCACCGTGCGACAACAGAGAAAAATGGTGCGGGTGCGCATGTGTGTGTGCGTGCGTGTGTATGCGAGTGTGTGTGTGTGTGTCAGAAAAAAATTGTTCAAGCATCTCTTTGGTGGTAGGCTAAGGCCAGGTGTCCAGGGCCTCTCTCTGCCCAGGCGGAAGGGGAGTCTCAATGCCTGGTCTCCAGTGAGCCCTTTAAATCTATTCCCCCGCCCCTACCACCGGGCTCCCTCTCCCAGACAGGTGTTTTCCCAACTCTGGAGGCCGAGGATTTTGGGGAGTGGCTGAGCCAATGAGATTTCCCTTTGGGGAAGGGCGTGGCTAACCGGGTCAGAGCAGGGGCGGGGCTTGCGCGGCTGAGGAGAGCCTGCCAGGTTGCGTGGAGGGCTGTATTATTCCCACCCCCACCCACCCCTTTCCTGGAGTCTTATTAATTTTTCTGTGGGGCTGCAGCTGGAGACCGCGGAGGGTTGGAAATGACGCTCGGAGCTTTAATTACCGCAGCCACTGGACAAGTGTGAAGAAAGCTGACAGGAAAAAGGACAGGCTCCGGGTGGGGAGAAACCAGAAGCTCTCCCTCCTCTCCCCCCTTCTCTCCCGGTTTGGTCTCGAGTGCAGGGAAACTGAAAAAGGAGCCTAACATAGCCCGGCTTGGGGGAGAGGCCGGAAACCTTCCGCCTCTTTGCAATCAACTTTTTTGGGAAGCCTTTTCCCCCTTTATTATTGTCGACCAACCAGTGAGAGAGAGAGAGAGAGAGAGAGAAAGTGAGGAGGGAGCGAGACAGCGAAGGCTCAGCCGGGAAATAGCTGCACAGTCCGGCGCGGAGCCGGGCGCAGACACTCGCACGCCGCCTCCTTCCCGGGACCCCGGCCCTGGCCCCGCGGGCGCGGATTCGCCCACCCGCCCGGGAGCCCGTGCACCGCGCGCTCCCACGCGCCCGGCTGGGGATTCTCCGCGCGCCGCACGGGGCTATGCCATTTGGACATGTAACTGTCAGCACGGGATCTGAGACTTGCCGAAAATGAAGCTGGCGACGGGATTGTGGGGCTGGCTGAGCCTCCTCGTGGCGGCGGGAACCGTCCGGCCCGGCGCTTCTCAGTCAGGTGGGTCCCGCTGTGGAAGCCGCTGCCGCGCGTGGCGGCCTCGCGTGGCTCCTGCGCCCTCTCTGCCTGTCGCCCCTCTCTCCGTCCCAAACTTGCTGTGTATGTTATTTTTCGTTAAAAATTACTCCGCGCCGCGTCCCCGTTTTTTGCCCTCTCTCTTTTTAGACCCTTTCTTTCTTTCTCGCGAATTTTCTGTGAGCCCGAGCCGCATCCCTTCTGGTCGCGCCTGTTGTTCGGGACAAGGGAGCCCCAAATGCCCAGGCAGAGGACACTCTGCTCTCCCCGACTGGGCCCTCGAGGGAGGAAGCCCCGAGAAGCGCGCACCCCCGGGGCTTTGGCGAAACTGGGGTCTCCGGGCCGCTGCGCGCCCAGCCTCTCTGGAGCCAGCGCGGTGGGAGCGGAGCCCGAGAGCGCACGGCTTTGCACCTGCGGGTGCCGCGGGTGGACGCTGCGCCCCTCAGCCGGGGTCGCTCGCTGCGCAGCCCCAGCCCGGGAGCTGGAACCTGGGCGCTTCTCGGCCTGGGGCCCGGAGCGCTGGGCCTCCTCGACTGGCGTCCCGGAGCTCTAACCCGCTGCGCTTGAGGGGCACTTTGCTAGCCTGTCTGACCTCTTAAAAAAAAAACCAACAAAAAACCCCAACAAAACTTGGCACGCTCGAATCAGGCGCCCGGCCTTCCCGTCGTTGCTGTGTTTGGCTCGAGGAAGAGTTCTTCCTGTAGTTCAACTTGCTATTGGCCGGAGTCCCTCCAACTTCTGTGTTTATCGCCTAGCCCGGTAGCGCGAAATGCTTGAACCCGAGGCGGGTACGGCGGAGGCGGCGCTTGGTGCCCGGCCTCCGGGTGTTGCACAGCTTGAGCCTCAGGTATTTGGACTGGCAAAGGGCCGATTGACCCCGAGAGATTTTGTAGGGGGGCTGACGCGACGCTGCAGCAGGCAGGGCTAAGGATAACACCTGCTGGGCGAGGGAGCTCAAAGTTTCTGACACTTTTGAGTTTCCTGGGGATAAAAGTGGGACAGGAAAGGACAGACCAGAACAGGGGTCTGACGCGGCCAAGGGGAGCCTTTTGGAGAGCCGGGGAGATTTCCGGGACCATCCGGGGCAGGTGGCGGGAGCGTGGGAGGCAGCTTGAGAAGATAAAGTCCCTGGGAGTGGAGTTAGGGAGAGCTTTAAGCCCTCGAAGGGTGTCCTTCTGACCTCACCCAGAAAACAGTGCGCTGTGGTTTTCCCGCTCCGCCCCCGCCGCCTCCCCCTCCCTGCCTGGTAAATAACAAGTTACAATCACGGAGCCTTTCAAAATGACCTTCCAGTGGCACATATGTGCCATTTGTGCTGGCCCTTTGCACCCTCCCAATTACTCCGAGATTCTTCATGCATACCAGGTCCCGCGCTCCAGCCGCCCTCAGGAATCACACCAGCACCGACTGGAGATTCCAAGCGGCCTTTTAGATGGATCCTTTTTATCTGCCTCTCCACTCCGAGTCCCTTCTTATTTTCCTTCAATGGGTTGATTGTACAGGCTCACCCACTCAAAAGCAGTTGCGCCTGACAGGCAGGCTTGGCCGAGAGGAATTTCTATCAGGAGACCTACTTGGAGTGTCTAGGGGACCCCTCTCGGGAGTCCGCAGCAATTCGGTATTAACTGTGCGGCTCCAGGTTGAGCTATGCCCAAAAGCCCCTTTCAGAATTTCTGCGAGGAATGTAATCCAAATTAGTTCTGCAGCTGTCCTCTTCCTCGTCTCAGGCGACATCAGCTCGCGCCCTCACTCCTCTCTTTTCGTTTCCCTGGGCGAATTGTCAGACCCACAAGCGAGCCCATTTAGAGCGCGGGGATTAGCGTGTCATTGTTGTTCCGAGTGTGACTCTGTACTTGCAATTCTGGGGGCATAAAAGCGAGCCTCACTTGTTCAGAACACAAAGTGATCTAGATAAAAGGGCCGCACAAAGAAAAGCTCTCTGGTGTATCCCTAGGATAATTGCAACACGCCTTCTAAGGTGATCCATTGGAAACTGTAAATGCCCCCGGGGACTTCTTTTTTCATCCTCTGCCACCGCACCTGGCAGGGAAAGTTCAGCTGGTTTTGAATGTGAACCAGTAAAAACAAGTTACTGTCTGGGGTGTGTGTGAGGCGCCGTGTGTTTGTGGCTGTGTGTAAGTGGCTGTATGTTCCCAAGTAAATACATTTCGCGCGTCTCCCCTCTCACAGTTAGCAGTCAGTAGCAGTTTGGAGGAGTTTGTTTTGGTCCAAATGAGAAATTAAGTGCAGATAAGTAAACTAAGCTGCCAGAGGGCGACAAGATGTTGAGTGAATTGCTTTTAGATGAAACAAATTAAGGAAACGAGGGAAGACAATCTGCTTCTCGCATTATTAGATACGCTTGGAGTTCAGGGGAAAGTGGCATATTTTTGAAATGCTAATTTCTCAAGAAGCACAAGGAATGCACCTTACTTACTGCTTTATGTAAACAGAATAAAAATATAGGGTGGGGGATTCTGTTCCATAGTTCTTTAAGATATTTCTTAGAAAAATTAACGAAGAGGGCTTTTTTGGCTTGGGAAAAATCAGCTCTGCAGATAATTTTTTAGTAATTCTCAAGGACTTTGCCTCATTTCCAGTAATTCATTTTATATAGAAATAGTATAGTCAAAGACCTTTTAAGTGGCAATGATAGAGCCTTTGGTACTCGAAGCAATAATTCTAAAATCTCTGTCTTCTGCCTTTGATGGGAAATTATTAATAAAACCTTTTCATTGAAATAAAATACGCAGTAGTTATAAAAGTGGCGCTCTTGCAGATCTTGATGTATATGTGAACAAAATTCACTTGCAGTTTCTTCTCTACAAACCATTTAGTCCTTTTCATTTTATAAAAATAGTGCAGTACATCTTTTCTATATATTTAGGATATATCATCGTATAATGATATATCCAGTGTATTTTGACATTTGAGAAAAAATGTCAATAAAACTTAAGAGGCAAGAAGGTGTTAAATATATTTTTCAAAAAAGCACCAATTCACTTTTTTTACATGTTTACTGTAAGCACATCCATGGACACACTGTTTCTTCATTGTTCTTTTAATTTGACATTCTTACATATGTTAAGAGAGCTTTTTAGAAGGCATTTTTCCCTTGAAGAAGATCTTTAAGTAAAATTAATTACTATTATTATAACTAAATTTCTTGAAATACTATAACTTTTGAGCTATTATGAGAAAGAATAATTTTGGTGTGTCAAGATTCCTTTTTTTTCTCTTAAACTGAACTACCTGTATTTTAATCATGCATGCATAGAAAGTCAAATTTTTTGAAAATCAAGGCACTTACCACTTATATATATATTTTCATTTAGTCCCTGGAAATGTGTTTTAATTAGGAAATTACATTAGAATATTTACTAGGGCATGCGCTTCATGGGAGATTTATGTATTTTTATTCTAACCTGAACACAGTAAGTTTGCATTGGCTGATCTTTAGAGTTTGCATTCATTTGATAGAACATCATGTTTCCCCTTTCAAAGTGGATTCAAATATTTAGTATTCATGAACTTTCTTCCCTTTGGTTCTTAAATAGCAGTACTGTTTATCATCTGTCCTATGCATTCCATTACTATAGATTCTTTACATCTTACTCTTTATTGAGTTTACACATGTAAATACGTATTTCCCCTCTACCACTAAGTGTACTCATTGTTTTGTGTGTCTTTCCAGCAACCTGCCACTCAGCCACTGCAGGAGACCTCTGAGCCAGTTATCATTCCTTGTTTCTGATAAATCTGCTATGGCTGGTTGGCTGAACAATCACAAGCTATTCCATTGCTCAGATTTATCCCTGAAAGAAAATAAAACAGCATCAATCCAAGATCACCAGTACATCTCAAAAGACCTGACTCCAAGGCCAGGTCTTTCCTCAGAGAAGTCCCTCTACCTTTCTCGCTGTCTTCTCCCATTCTTACCAAGGAAATAAGGTGGGCTGCTGCCTTTTAAAAAACACAAGTGACGTAAGCAGTTGTGCCCTAAGTGTTCCCTTGAAGGCTGGTGATGAGAGCCATCTTGAGATTAATGGTTATGGAAGCTGCACGTTTTACACAATATAAATTGATTTAGGATGTCTTAAACATTGCAGCACTGTAAAGTCATATAATTTTTATATTTTGCCAAATAAGTTATTAAGAAAAATTAATATGTTTAAAAATAGAAGCGAGTTTTGGCTTTACAATGTTTCCCTACTGTTATATGTTTGTATGTGATATGTAAATGCCTAACACAGAAATGAAGCAAATGATCAGAAAGGATATTCTGTTAGCTGCAAACTTATTGGCATTTGCTCTGTTTAGTTTCACCCTGTTGAGAGATACTGCTTTATTAATTGTTAATATTTATGTTGAAATTACCTTGTAGATGTGCAAGTTTATAGCTGTTTTGCAAAAATTGTCAAGCATATTCCACTATTATCTTTCACAGTGATCTACTGCATAAGCTATGCAGGGTAGAGATTAATCATATTACCAACTTTTCTCCAGGTTACAGCAGTTTAGAAATGTTCTATTATGTTAACATTTCACCACGCAGAACTAAATTGCTCCTTTTGTCTGACATTCTTTCATATGTATTATACATATTGGGCAGTTGGAGTACAATTGTACTTCTCATGATTTCTAGAAAAGCGATTGATCGGAATTCACAATTTATAATGAAAATACTTGATTCCATTTATTTATTTAGAATAAAAAAGATCCTAGATCAAAGTTTCTTACAATTGTAGCTCTTCCAAATAATTTGAAGGTGATCTTTCCTGCCTATTTTGTGGATAAGTACAACACAGGTCATAGCCATGTGGCTTAAATCAAGAGTTCTACATTTTATGGGCAGTTCTTCCAGTCCCTTTTTAATACCCCAAGCAACTCCATTTCTTTGTGATTTGGCTTATCTGTCTGGGAAAAAAACATGTAATGTGCTATTTCTCCACTGCATAGCACTTTTCTGAAAAAATGACTTTAAA